GTGTGTGTGTGTGTGTGTGTGTGTGTGTGTGTGTGTGTGTGTGGACAGATAATTCGTTGTGAAACTATATAAACGGGTTTATGTTCCATTTGAATGCTGCATACCCGCATGGTGGTGGTGGTGATTGAAGTCATCCATCATGTAGTATGTCTCTCCACTCTTTAATCGACAGGCCACGGCGGGGGTAACATCGTCGGCAACCACACGCATCGCTACACTCCAGTCGTCTTCTGAGCCTTTTGTGGTATCAGACGTCTTGCTTGATCGCTTGGTCTGATTCTGTGTTGTAATAGAACACAAATAAATACCAAACGGACAGGAGGGGATTAGAGTATGTATCTTATTCAAAACAAACAAAAACATGGTGGACTATACACACCATAAATGAGAAGCAATTTGTTCGCGCAATCGACTTAGCTGTGAATACGCGGTTATAGTTATATTATTCAAGTACACACTCTATTTCTCGTAACAGGTGAATACGAAGATAAACACACATCAATCACTGTCAACCATAATGCAGATACGAATTGTCAATCATGAATATGCACCTTTGTAAATAATAAAATCCATTGCCTGTGATCGGATAAGCTGCGATGGTACTATAGTTTGGCAATCGGCCGTTTATATGACAACAACCGACTATATATACATGTATTCTATATTAAACAAACGCCCATTTGCCTAATATGACAAGTGCGTAGCTCGTGAACATGATACACTGCAAGTTCGCAGTAGATCTGCTGTGGGCAGTCTTTCATGGACTCTGTAAACTACATATTTACAATTTGAAGAAATGATACAATATTATGCGTTCGTAACCTGCATGACAGGTAGGATTGATACTTGTATCTAGCTATCAGTGATAGGCCAACTGCCTCTGATCGGATATACTGCGTTGGTGCTCTAGTTCTACGATGAGCTGTCTGCATGCCACCACAAAATGACTACATGCAACACATACATACAACATGATCGTGCTGATACATATATTTTCATACAAACACTCAAATCACAGGTATGCACGTACCTGGCTGCCAGCTATAGGTCCATTGCCTGTGATCTGATATACTGCGATGGTGCTGTAGTTCTGCAGTGAACTGTCTGCGTGCCACGATACAGACGTAGGGCCCATTCCATACACTGCCTCGTTCTTCAAAGGTACCTGTGATAGAGAAAGAGTAATTTCTCAAGTATGGAACTGTAGCCGTGATGATAGGCACGAGAATGTGAACATACGTAGATATACAGCTTTGTACTACTATACACATATCAGCATAGATTGGCGCTAGATTTGAATCTCTAAAAGCTTGTCCAATATGTGGTATTTAAAAACCTGCCTATTTCTTGAGGTCAGATTCCAAATACATGGGCAATGTATGGGTGGACACAGGCATATGCATGTGTATATACGTGTTACACGTACGGAAGCTCGTAAACGTATCAATTCACGATTTAAGAATCATTTCCTTTCGAAGTCGAGAATGTACTCAACGACTGTACATGTTCGTCTACAAATAAAGCTAAAAACTACTATCAGTCTACTCAAAGAGAAAAATAACCCACTGTACGCCATATACACAAATACGAGTACACATGCACGCCTCCTTATGTACAAATGAGCTTTACACACCTTACTATCCTTCTCGCAGAACATGTAGTTGATGAGAGACACACTGTACTTGCAAGAACCTCTGGGCACCACTCCTTTCTGAGCGATCTGTTGGTTGTGTTTATCCCCACCCTCCTTATGGTATTGCAATAGTAGTTCTGTGGCATTCGTAGTCAGCGTGGAATTGAGCTGTTTCAACGCCAGCAGATTTGACACCGGACGTCCACTTTCGCTGTAATGCGGACAGGCGGTGGTGGAATAACGGGCCAACCCGGTATTAGACCAAAGGGCTCGTGTCACAATCTACAAGTATTCAACTGGGTGTCTCGAATTGAACTAAAAGGACTCACGACATAGGGTTGCTGCAACCGAATGAATTGCGCTATATTCGCTCACAAGTATCTGTAGCATAGATATGTACATAACTCCAGCTTTCTTGTATATTGCCCGGCCACCGTTTCAGGCGCATGGTCCGCAATGAATGCAATAAATAGAGACCGCAAATTAGTGCAGTATAAAGCGCATGTGTATATAGACACTACCAAGGTAGATACACTAAAACCCAAAAAAAAATCTCAACTACTAGTATCCCAATACAATTTGTACATAAATCTGTGGAATGAAGCACTGCTAAATCAAAGCTCACCGCTTCGCCGAGTGGGCTCGGTAAAAATACAGTCTTCGCCAAACACACGACAAAAAGAAGAAACACTGCTGCGGATAGTGATAGGTTATGTTATGCCGCGTTGACGCATACGCATACATATACCTACTCGCAATACATAGCAACTTTATGTATACAAGTACGTCTAGGTATTCAGTATCACAATCTTAAAACATACAGTTGCCATACCACTTTGCCGTGTCAGCTTGGTAAACACCTGTGCCATCGTCATCCCACGGTAGTGCGAATATACGCAGTCGCTGATAGTGATACGTCATGCCTCGTTCACCCACGAGCACACGCTGTACAAATGTCGACGACACCTGAATACACACGCGATAATACGTTTAGAGAAATGATACTGTTAGAGCAGGGGTTCACGCTTATGGGTATCGCTTCTTATCTTTCACAAACAGCATAGTAGATAGTGGAGATACAATCCAGACGTAAGTTCTAAATCAATGGAATACTACACTTCTACACGATGATGAGATACTCTCAAGACATCGCATAAAACACATAACATCTAAGTTCACAGAAAGTGTGATTAATAAATATAAGAGATTATCTGGTAAACTATCGACATAAACGATATTTATATATATATATATATATCACAATATATATATATATGTATATATATACATATATATATATATATATATATATATATATATATATATATATATATATATATA